TACTTCCCGTGGCCACTAGTCCATTCGCACTGCAGGCTGACTCCCCTGTCATTACCTCCCGTGGCCACTAGTCCATTCGCACTGCAGCCTGACTCCCCTGCCATTATTTCCCGTGGCCACTAGTGCATTCACACTGCAGCCTGACTCCCCTGTCATTACCTCCCGTGGCCACTAGTCCATTCGCACTGCAGCCTTACTCCCCTGTCATTGCTTCCCGTGGCCACTAGTCCATTCGCACTGCAGCCTTACTCCCCTGTCGTCACCTCCCGTGGCCACTAGTGCATTCGCTCTGCAGGCCGACTCCCCTGTCATTACCTTCCGTGGCCACTAGTCCACTCGCACTGCAGGCTGACTCCCCTGTCATTACTTCCCGTGGCCACGAGTGCATTCGCACTGCAGACTGACTCCCCTGTCATTACCTCCCGTGGCCACCAGTCCATTCGCACTGCAGGCTTACTCCCCTGTCAATACTTCCCGTGGCCACTAGTCCATTCGCATTGCAGGCTGACTCCCCTGTCATTACCTCCCGTGGCCACTAGTCCATTCGCACTGCAGGCCGACTCCCCTGTCATTACCTCCCGTGGCCACTAGTCCACTCGCACTGTAGGCTGACTCCCCTGTCATTACCTCCCGTGGCTACTAGTCCATTCGCACTGCAGGCCGAGTCCCCTGTCATCACCTCCCGTGACCGCACGTGCATTTGTGGCAGAGCCAGGATTTTGAGGTAGGGGGGGCAACCCCTCCAGCAATGAAAAATGATAGGAGTTGTTAGTAAGTAAGGAGTTGTTAGTAAGTAAGGAGTTGTTAGTAAGTAAGGACTTGTCCCTTGCTTCTTTCGGTAAAGTCACGTCGAATGGAAAGAAAACAATAAAAATAAAGCATAATAAAATAAGATTCTCACGACGTTTCGGCCACAACACAAGTGGCCTTCATCAGGTGAAGAGACAGGTCTGTCCAGAAGATAGAGCTTGAATGAACACTGTCAAGCGAGGACCGCGTCTTTTAAGCTGTGTGGGCAGAGTTAACATATTAATTAGCATGTTACCCAGCACCACCACTGGAGCGGAGGAGGTGGGGCTGGGAACAGAAAAAGAAGAGAAACAGCCAAGGTGCGCCGCTCTGTCCTGTGTTGCATTATGACTATGCTGTAAACTGGACTACTATACAATACAATATTATACCTTCCAATCTAAACTGCATGGTGTAACATCATATCCATAGAGAAATTCCACCTTTGAATTATACAATGCGTTACTTTACACTACCCTATACTTTAGACTCTAAAATATTAGACTTGTAACATTACACTGTCTTATTCTATGAACCCAACTATATACCACACTGCTGTATATTCACTATGTGATTACGATGCTATATATTGCCTTATGAATTATGTTAAACATTAAAATATTATACTATTTATTATTAGACCACATGTTATAAACCATACCATTAACCATGGTGTGAGAGGTATTAAGAGGCAATGCCAGCGAATGGACTGCGGTCTGAAGGTCACCGTAAAATACAATCAATTAAGATCCGAAATGGTTTATAACATCTTTCCAATTGTTACTAAGCCAGAATCCATCTTCTCGGTTGAAATTGTCTCTGTGTTTGTATATGTGGATGGCCTCATGAACGAATCTCTCATGGTAGCCGGGTGGCTTGCAGAGAACCTCCGTCTTGGAGAAGTCAATGTAATGTGAGCCCACTGAATTATAACAGTGATCTGCCACGGCTGAGGAGTTCGTCCTACCGTGTTTCAAGTCTGCTTTATGTTCACGGATGCGGTCCGAGATATGTCGTTTGGTCTCTACATTGGTGTAATTGCATAGTGAATATACAGCAGTGTGGTATATAGTTGGGTTCATAGAATAAGACATAGTGTAATGTTACAAGTCTAATATTTTATAGCCTAAAGCATAGGGTATAGTGTAAAGTAACGCATGGTATAATTCAAAGGTGGAATTTGTCTATGGATACGATGTTACACCATGCAGTTTAGATTGGAAGGTATAATATTGTATTGTATAGCAGTCCAGTTTACAGCATAGTCATAATGCAACACAGGACAGAGCGGCGCACCTTGGCTGTTTCTCTTATTTTTCTGTGTTCCCAGCCCCACCTCCTCCGCTCCGGTGGTGGTGCTGGGTAACATGCTCATTCATATGTTAACTCTGCCCACACAGCTTAAAAGACGCTGTCCTCGCTTGACAGTGTTCATTCAAGCGCTGTCTTCTGGACAGACCTGTTTCTTCACCTGAAGGAGGCCACTTGTGTTGTGGCCGAAACGTCGTGAGAATTTTATTTTTATTATGTTTTATTATTTTATTCCCATTCTACGTGGTGGCTTTACCGAAAGAAGCAAGACGATGAATCCCTGCAGTCACGAAAGCTTTAAATCGAAATTTGTCCCTTGATTTTTATCCGACGCGTGTGCGGCGATGGCGCAGCCATCGATCGAGGGATCGAATTCGAACCGCGTTGTGTGATCGGCATCGCGCTCATTGAAGGTGTCGATGCCTTCAGGGAAGTCGTGGACTCTGTAGACGCAACTGCGCACAATTCTGTGAGTCGCTTATAACCGCTTTGCCGTTACTTATTGCCAATTATGGACTCAGACTATTGTCCTATCATCTCATTGAGTCCCTGGCACGTAATGATATGCTACACAGTGGCAGTGGGGATCGCAAAATGCCAATTTATTACTAATAAACCCCAAAGATCCGATAGAAATTAGGGATTTCGATCGGATCATTGGGGGGGCACGTGCCACCCCTCCCACCCCCCCTCCCCCCTCACACTGGCTCCGCCAGTGTTCGCACTGCAGGCTGACTCCCCTGTCATTACCTCCCATGGCCACTAGTCCCCTCACATCGCAGGTAGGCTCTACTGTCATTAAACATGCATACTCTTGATGGGTTTTTCCTTTGTATGTGCGTCTGTTACATAAGTGGGGAGCGGCGGTACAGCGGTTAGTGCGCTGCGCTACGAACCCAGCGACCCGCTCACGGACCAACACCCGTGACGATGATCTGAACCGGTCCCAGGTCGACTCAGCCTCAAATACGTACCTGGTGGGATTTGTAAACACCGCCACTCGGGAGACAAAGGCGGCCGGGCGTGGTGCTGGCCACCCACCCTCTATGTGTGCCGTGCCGGCATTCATAGGTGCTGCTCATCAACAGCACTTGCCCCTACAGTCTGATAATGTTTATTTTGACTGCAGAAGGAATCCGATGAGCTATGAAGCTCTTTTTCCACACGTGTCCAGAAGGACAGCTGTCTGTAAAGGCTATAAGGGTGATCTTTGTCTTTTGTGTGTGCGTTGAGTGAACGTGTTACTGTGTGGGGAGCGGTGGTGCAGTGATTAGCGCTGCACTGCGCTCCAGACATGGGATCTGTAGTGGGCTTCCCCCCCCCCCCCCCAGAGCGACTCAGCCTTGAATGAGTACCTGGTGCGGTGTATGTCAAACATCAGCATCGGGGAGACAAAGGCGGTCGGGCGTGACGTTTGCCACCAACTCCCTCGTGTGCCGTTTTGAGCTTCATCAGTGTTGGCTAACAGTACTTGCCCCGACAGTCTGTTAGTCCTATATGGGGGGGGGGGGGGGGGGGGGCGTTGTCAGTGTGTACATGAGCGGTGGCGCAGCGGTTAGCACACTGCACAGCTGCACACCCGAGTTAAATTCCCGGCCACGGCTAAGGGGCGCCGCGGTGGCTATGAGATGTTAACTACCTCGCCTGGTATACAGGAGGTTCGTGGGTTCGATCCCGTCTCTGACGCCTTCTGCTGCTGTATATTTGGAGTTTGCTTGTGCCCGTCTCTCTCCCCGTGGTCGCGTGGATTTTTCTCCGGGTCCTCCGGTTTTCCCCCTCCACATTTGCTACGTGTACATTTCCATGCGCATGGTAAGCCGTGCGGGGAAATGTACGTGGCCCAGGTCATTTGTGGCCAGTCGGTTTCTACGAAAGAGTTACAGAGCTCAGAATAGAGTTTTTTTTGGGTTAGATCGCGTAAACGTATAAATGTGTCGTTAAACCCGCCACCACCCGACACAACCATCTAGTAAGGGTTGTCACGTAAACAGAACGTGCACAATTCGTCACTAGTCCAGCACCACACCGGTTGTGTCTTGGAGAGCCAAGCCACAACATTCATAATCCGAGTACGACGTTTCGCCGGTAATTGCAACCAGCTTCATCAGGCGACAGCCAGATTTGTGGGCTGTACCTATTATTGCCGGCACGGTACACGAGAGGGATGGGTGGCCAACCAACACCACACGCCGGGGCCGCCTTTGTCTCCCCAGAGCTGATGCTTATACCAACCGCACCGGGTACTCGTTTAAAGTCGAGTCGGTCAAATTTCGATTTGAAGCTTTCGTGACTGCAAGGATTCATCTTCTTTGGTTCTTTCGGTAAAGTCACGTAGAATGAGAATAAAATAATTAATTGATAAAATAAAATAACACAATAAAATTCTCACAAAAATATGGAACGCAAATTCGTGAAGCGTTCCATATCAATTTATTATTTTATTCTCATTCTACGTGACTTTACCGAAAGAACCAAAGAAGTCGAGTCGACCAGTTCGGATGATTCCCCCGTCGCTGAGCAGGGAATCGAACTCGGGTGGCCCGGGTTCGTAGCGCAGTGTGCCGAAGCGCTGCGTCATCGCTTCCCACAACACAAAGGCAAAGATCCCCCGTAGAGCCCGAACGGACTGTTGGGGCAAGTGCTGTGAGCGAATAGTAGCACCTATGAAGGCCGGCACTGTGGCGCACGAGGTGGGGGGGGGAGAAGTGGGTTCGTTCGAGCAAGCGCAGCGCCAACGCTAACCGCTGCGCCACCGCTCTTGGCGTGCGTCTGTGCATGTGTGTGTAGGCGTGTGTGCGTGTGTGCATGTGTGTGTAGGCGTGTGTGCGCGTGTGGCTGGGTTGGCGTGCGTGTGTGTATAGGCGTGTGTGCGTGTGTGCATGTGCGTGTGTGTATAGGCGTGTGTGCGTGTGTGCATGTGCGTGTGTGTATAGGCGCGCGTGTGTGTGTGTGTGCGTCCTGCGTGCAGGTATTTATGGCTGGGAGGGAGAGAGGCAACTGGGTAGAAGACGCAGAGAACTTCACGGAAGATGCGGGTGATTCGAGTGCTGGCGATGTCTCTCGTCACCCAGGTAAGACTCAAACAAGTCAAAGGCTCCCATAATACATGGGGTTTTTTTTGGGGGGGGGGGGGGGAGGGGGCCGGTTAGAACGCTGACGTCTGCAGTTTCTACGAAAAAGTTACGGAGCTCACGGTAGAGGTTTTTTTTGGGTTAGATAGCGTAAATATATAAATGTTGTGTCGTTAAACCCGCCACCACCCGACGCAGCGACTAGTAAGTGTTGTCACGTAAACAGAACGTGGCCAATTCGTCACTAGTACAGCAGTAGTGTATAGTGTAGTGTATAGTAGTGTAGTGTATAGTGTAGTGTATAATGTAGTATACTAGTACAGCACCACACCAGTTGTGTGTTGGAGAGCCAAGCCACGACATTTACAATCTGAGTACGACGAAATCAAAGCTGCCCCGTATAGCCTCAGAACGGGCGCTCGGGGCAAAGTGCTGTTTGCGGGCACCTATTGATTTGAGATCGGCATGGCGCGCGACGAGGAGGCTGGTGTGTGGCGGTAACCCGTGGCACGTGTCAGTGGGATGACACCCGTGCTAGACCTGGGTTCAATCCCAGACTAGGGCGCCGAACGTTCTGTGTGTGTGTGAAGTGGAGTTTGTATGTTCGCTCTCTCCTATATAAATGGTTGGATCGCGTAAATTAAAAAAAAAATGTTGCGCCGTTAAACCAGCCACCACCCGACACAGGCAATTAGCAAGGTTTGTCACGTAAGAAAAAAAAACCGTGCCGATGAATGGACTAGTTCAGCACACCGCTGTGATGGAGAGTAAACCCACTACAATGTTCGCAATTCGAGTATCGTGACGCTTTCGCCGGTGTGATGGCGGACTTCAAGTTCACATTTATATCTTGACTTGAAGCTTTCGCGACTGCAGGAATCCATACTCTTCGGTTCTTTCGGTAAAGTCACGTGGGTATAAAAAAAATCATAGATCACGACGTCTCGATCGCAACGCACGCAATCGTCATCCGCCTGCTTGCGATGCGACCGAAGCGTCGTGATGGACTATTTTTTCTACCTAAGGACAACATTAATGGGTTAGAGGAGCGAACATTCTGTTCATTCTGTTCGCTCCTTCCGCAGCTAAAGCAACACTCACGGCGTGCAATGTCATTTCGGCGTTGGCGAAACATCCTCCTGAAAATTGAAATCGGATTTTTGTTTTCTCAAAAATGGTTTTTTTTTAAATTTTAACTCCCGAGTGCCGCGATGTTCAACAACCGTTGCAAACCGGCGCACTGCATTTTTTTTAAAAGTCCGAGTAGACCTAGATGGAAACAGGGAACCTGTTCCAGATCTTTTAACTCGCCATTCATTTTAAGCCGTGCTCGGGGATCGAACTCGGAGGTCGTCGGTTAATTGGTGCAGCGAGTTTAACCGCCACTCTGCAGCTCTCTATACGCGGTGTGTTTATGCAACGAAAACAAAGATCCCTCGTGTATCATGGGACCTCTCTTGCCAGTATCAAAATACAAGGCCGTAATTATAATGTATATTGCTATAAAATAGATTTCTGCTATAAAATAGATTTCTGTTTATATTATTGTGGTTATGGTTGTACTTTATTGATCCTTAATCTCTGCCATTACATACAATGAAACAAGAAAAGATAAAAAAAAACCAGAGCAATGTAATACAATACACTATTAGACATTATTGTTAAACATAAATAAAAAGTCCATCGCATGTGTTCGTGAATTTTTAAATATTTTAGGCAGAAAATTCTTTTTTAAATTTAGATTTTTTTTCTGGGGGGGGGACCCCCAGACCCTCTGGAAGATTCCCCCCCCACCCCCCAATTTTGGCTCCATGGCTACGGCCTTATCAAAATATAAGAATAGGTTTTACCTTTTCTGGCAATAAAACCAGTTGTGTTAAGATGTTAAAACACCAAACCTAAACCTTTTTCAAGGAATCATGTACCGCATTAACCACAGATACTTGTGGTGAACATGCAAACAAAGAAAAACACATGTTCTGGTAGTATATGATGATGATGCATTGTCTTTGAAATCGATTGGTCCACACCAGAGACGGCTTTCTTTAGAGCCTCGTCTCACCAACAGCGTTAGACCAGAGGACAACGCCAAAAGGCGAACAGCACAAAGACAATGCCACTATGAGGACACTGAGAGCTCGGGGTTGAGCAGCTACATCATGGGGACCTCCCTTGCCAGTAAGGGGAGGGCAAGCCCCGTGGCGCTCGCGAGAAGGCTGGCGCGGATGGCGGCGGACGACCGGTGGGGCAGAGTTGGGGAGTTGAACCCGAGGGCCCTCCTGTGGGTGGAGAGGCGCGCGGCTGAAGGCGCCAGCGACTCAGGGAGACGCGGAGGGAGGCTGAAGAGGAGAAGGGCAATGTCGAGCTGGATGATCCGAGTAGCAAAAGTAGCAAATGTAGCTACGGGCACCCGCACTTTCAATGGCCCCCCGCGCTAAACGCTCTCGAGCTATCAATTCCGGTTCAGTGATTCTGCACTTGCTCTATTACTATAGTACTATACCGCCTTCGACTTTTACGAACGACCGGGTGTTTAAGGTTAGCGATTTGTCGTGTTATCTGGCATGTGTAGCAAATGAAAAAATACAATTACTTTACTGTGCAAGTTAAACATTTGTGTTTTATTATTAATGTGTTTTTTTTTTAAATTCAGGGCCCCTTTATAACATCATGCTACAGGCCCCGCACTCGCTTCATCCGGCACTGGGGCAATCCCGAGCCCGTGCAATGCACGTGTGTCGAACTTCTATCGCACCGACCGTGCTCATCGGTGGTGCGGGGGAATGACGACAAATTAAACGCAACAACGAGCGGTTCTGATGAGAGGAGTTTGTCAGTCTAGATTCATCGAGTGCGTAGCTCCCCCCAGTGGCTTCCTAATATCGGAAGGAAGAGAGAACGTTCCAGACGGCTGCAGAAGCAGCGCATCTGAGGGCGCCGCACGATGATGCGGTGACCGCCGCCTTTTGTTCGATGGCCGAGTCAAAAGCCACTGCGAGGGTGTCCGGAGTTTGCGTGATGATGGTTTTGTGCTCCTTGACGAGATGAGCGAGGTTTTGTAATTCGAGATGTTAACTCCCTCGCCTGATATGCAAGAGGTCGTTTATTTGCCGAGGACATTATCAAGAATATAACACATCGATTAGACAGCTAGTAAAAGGCATCAGCAAGTCTGCATTAACCACCCATACGTGTGGTCAAACCATGCAAACAAACGTTATTTGATAATGTACGCATTAATAATAGGGGTTTTCCCCTTTTTTTCTGGCAACAAAACTGATGCCTTTTTAACAAGGATTAATGTCTGCATTAACCACAATACCTGCAGTCAAAATGCAAACAAAAAACATACTGTGATAATATATGCATTGTCCTTGAAACTGATTGGTCCACACCAGGGACGGCTTTCTTTTGAGCTTCGACCCAACTGGTGCTCGACCAGAGGACGCCAAAAGGCGTACTCCTTTTGGCGTCCTCTGGTCGAGCACCAATTGGGTCGAGGCTCAAAAGAAAGCCGTCCCTTGGTGTGGACCAATCAGTTTCAAGGACAATGCATCATATATTATCATATTATGTTTTTTGTTTGCATTTTGACTGCAGGTATTGTGGTTAATGCAGACACGAATCCTTGTTTTAAAAAAAGGTTTCAGTTTTGTTGCCAAAAAAGGGGAAAAAACCCTATTATTACATTTTGGTACTGGCAAAGGAGGTCTAATGATGAATGTACGCATTGTCCATAAAACGGTTTGGCTCGCGCCAGAGGCTACCATCATAGCCTTGTCTCACCACCGGTGTTAGAGGGGAGAACGCCCAAAGGCAAACAGCGCAAATACAACGCGAATATTAAAGCAGCAATAGCTCTGGTTGAGCAATTGTGTCTGTGTTCTGAAACTCCGTCAGGTTAATGCATATTTGATGCCTATTTGGCGTTTGAACATCCAAACAACTCCTGTATTCTTGCCGGAGAGGGCAATGCCTTCCATCAGTGGGGTACAGGTGGCTAGTTTGTGGACACTTAGAGTCCAATCCTAGGCAGAGATGACTCGAGCCTTGGATTGTTCATTTGACAGCGGCAATGAAGACCGTGACTTTAATTAAATTTGGTTAGGGCAGTAAAAATAAAAAATATATATATGTGTCGCCTACATGACATTTTCATCTCTTGCCACTTGGCAGGTGAGGACGTTTATTTAGCCACACCGACCCAGCCCCCTCAGGGGGGGGGGGGGAGAGAGGGGGGGCCGGGTGGAGAGGGGGATATGACTTTCGCCAATTCCGGGCACATTGAGTGCTTTGTTTAAATGATGGGAGGAGCCCTAGTCGATACTGTGTAACAACATCTAGTTTTGTTCCTGGGTAGTAAGTGTTACTTCGCAAATTGTGTATGCCTCAAAAGGTACAGAAAGAGGCTATTATTATTATTCCCCACAAACTTTGATTTTGTGACCAGCACAGGTGACATTTTGAAATTGACCTATTGCCAATGAGAAAAAAAATACGTGGTGCGCATTTGCGTCATTCCTTCACATTAAGTCCTGGTCACAAAAGCAAAAGTTTGTGGGGAATAATAACAGCCACTTTCTGTACTTTTGAGTGATAAGCAATTAAAAAATATAACACAGTACCCAGGAACAAAAATTGTGTTACATAGTGAATTATCGCACCCAGCGTTTCTTACGCAAGCGTGCTCCTGAGAATGCATTATATAGAAGGGGAATGAAACATCATCATCATCACGATCCACGTGAGGTGTCCACTGGACATTTCGTCATTTGTTGTTTCCACTTTCCTCTCTGTCTTCGAGTGCCAATCCCTTCCCATGTCGTCGTCAAAACCGTCCGTTTAGCGTTTGACCAGAGTTTGTTTAACGTTAATAATACATGTAAACAAAAAAGATGAAAATTCCAGACGAACAATAATGAATGCGAAAGAACTTCAAGTTGTGTAAAATCGCTCTCCATCGGAGACTGAACAGGTGGTAATGCACGGCGTATGTCTTT